GTACAACGCCTTGTTTGGAAGGCCATGGATCCACTGCATGAGAGCAGTGCCATCCATGCAGTGCCATCTATAGCTGAAACAGGAGAATATTAGCCTACAAAGGCAGAAGGAGGAACATACATCTGCTCAAAACAAATGTTATCTGTTTTTTGAGATAGCCCTCGTAGTTCCGACTTCGATCCGCCTCATAACGCATGTATACAAGCTCATCTCCCCTTTTCCTGCAAAGAAGCTTGAGGGATTTCTCCCCATCCAAAGCTTTCCGCAGCCTGGCCTCACGGCGAAGCAGGCCGGACTTAAGCTCATCAAAGGCCTGCGAAAAAGGAGCTCAATAAGAAAGGGAAGACGCAAAAATAAAAAAGCTTGTACCGGCTACCAAAACTCACCATGAAACTGAGCCGCTGAGCTTCGTCAAAGGTCGAACACACATCTACTGGCTTGGCCTCATCGGCCCCAGTAAAACTACTCCCGATGAGAGTATGGCTGCCCGATGCTCCATTCGATTCGCTCGGACCCTGGCCTCGAATGTCCCTCGAAGTGCCTTCGACGGGTATGGAAACGGCGACAAGATAGAAAGTGTCTTTCCAAAAATAGAGGACTCAGAGGTTGCAGGATCAACCGACACGTCTCTTTTGACCCTCCGAGCAGGGCTCGCTTCACTGCAAGCATCCTCGCCCTTCGAGGATTCCTTCCGTTTGTTATCAATCCTTGGTCCCGAGGTTGGAAATCTTTCTTCCTCCCCGAGGGGACACAGACTCATCTCTGAAAGTCCTCCAACACCTGCGATGACAGAGTTAGTGCGCTAAAAAGAAAGTACCTTTCTGGGAAAACAAGCCACTAAGCACCTACCATGATGTTTTGCCTCCCATCTCGCCTTGGACAGGTCTCACAACCTGCACTTATCAAAAGATGAGCAAGCTGCCAGCTTATGAGACCATTCAGCTAGGTCAGGAACCTCGTTCGGCAGCCAAGGAATCTCTAAAGAAAATAAAACAGAAAAACATCTTTACAGAGCCCGCCTCCACTACGGACAAAAGCGATAAAAACACAAGTGTACCACTTACGTGTGAAATTCCATTTCTCAGGAAATGGCAGAAACTCTCCAGGGATAATATCGACTATCCGTGCTCGAACAAATCGACTCATCAACCCCGATCCTCGTCCTCTTCATCGTTAACGGTAAGGGTCCAGGTGGATCAACGTTGCAGAGTAATCAAGCCCCGGTAATGCAAAGGCCCATATAACCTGACGAGATGACTAAGGGTGAATTCAAGCCTGGCCTTATCCGCAAAGTACCTTATCATCAACACTATCTTCCAAAGGGATGGGTGAGCCTGCGCTAATGTGACCTGATACCTTCTAAAAAACTTGAGCACGACCCTGTCGAGAGGGCCCAACGTAAAGGGGTACGTATATACGTTCAAGCACCCCTCGACATGAGCCATAATGCTCTCCTCCGGGGAAGGTGCCTGCAACACCACCTCTCCCCCCCATCCACAGTCTTTTCTGACAGCCTCGAGATGCTCCTCCCCTATTGAGGAGATAAACCTCGACGCATTCTCCCGGTGGCCCAGAACATTGGGAGGTATCTCTAACAAAAAATCCCTCTTCGAGACAAAGCACCTCGATGCTAGCTCACCGGACGCCGGCGGTGTACCGGCGACCGAGCACGAAACTAAGGAAGAACCCTCCTCTTCTTGACAAGCGGACGTGGGCACATCAACCATGTCTATAGTAAAACAAAGAAAGGGGAAATGAGAAGACTTAGGCGAAAGCTTTGAGGTAAGGAGAAATTGACACAAGAAAGGGGAACCCTGTAAAGGAGATAGTCGCTCAATATAGCAGTATCTTCAAATAAGGGGAGAACAAGCACATATATAGGGTAGGTGGTGACTATTCGCCTGCTCTAGAGACCAACGGAATCAGGCCATGTTAGTATTGCTCTTTGAGAAGAATGCTGGTGGGACCACCTCGGTCACTTTGCAATCATGCCATGTAAATGACACTGTTGTGTAAATGCTCGGAGGTCATCACACCCTGAGAATTTTCGCCATTATAGGCATCTACCCTATAGAAACTATCGGCCCAATTTTGAGATGGTACCCAATCTCAAAGGCCTCGACTATTCCAAGTATATGCCTCGAAGAGCCAACATCAGAATTCGAAGGCAAGAACATTAAAACATAAATGGGAAATACTCAAAGCAGAAAAATTGTCATACTTCCAAAAAGACATTTACAGCAGGGGAACATTTACAAAGCCCTTCCCCTAAAAAACTCTTGTAAAATGAGAAGAAGAGATGACCTAAATCTACTCTTCACCCCAACTACCCTCGGAATCGTCATCAGAGCCCTCATCTGAAGTGGCCGGAAGAGTAGATTTTTCCTCCAAGGTTTGGGCTTTCTCAATCTCGGCCGAGAGATCAGCGCCCTTATCGCTCATTTCCTCAAGAGCCTGCCTCCTCGCTTGCACATGAGCATAAGCAACGGCCCGAGTCAACTTCTGTTTGGTCTTCGCTAAAATCTCTCGAGCTTTGTCATTCGCAGTGGTGGCATCTTCCTTATACAAGGACGTTTTTTCTTCTGCCACAGACTTAGCCAATGATAGTGCGGCAACCTCCTCCTTGACACTCTAGAGAAGCTCTCGGGATGACGACAGCTCCGTCCGCAAATGGTTCCTCTCCAAGGACACGACCCCATTTTGCCTCCTTAGATCGAGGGCCTCTGCCTCCTTGGCGACCGCCTCCTCTCGAAGCTGCTCCACGAGGGCATTCTTTTGCCTGACCTGCAAGGGAAAAGAAAGCTGGTAAGATGCCAAGTTATAAGGAGAAGGGGCAGAGTCGCAGATACCATATTACCTGCTCGGCAAGGTTATCTTTTTCTCGGCACACTCCATCTAACCTCGCCGGAGCCCACTCAGCTCATCCTCCTTTTGACGGCGACCCTAGCGTGGTTTATTGAGTCAGGGCATTTAATGCTCAGATAGGCTGACGACATGAGGGTAGTGCTTGAGAAGTAGGGGTTCAAAATCGTTTCCTATCATTTTATTCTAGTGAGCGAGGGGACTATCTGTATACGGTAAAATCGGAGGGTCTAAATTTCGGTCATTGCAACGCTTCATAAGCAGGTTTCCAAGGGCTCGAGGCTATGGTCGAGATTCATACCCGAGGGGTTATCGACGTCCGACCTCAGGACAGTGTAGATCGACGGTTACGGTGAAAAAGTGGGAAGTTCCCAAGGCGCGTGACTGGAACTGACAAAGTCTAGTAGGCTAGTTCAAACCCGTATCATGGTATTAAATGGCTGTACCAACCCCATATCTTTGTAATAAAAGAATTTGTACTATGTTGGGATTCCCCCTGATATATAAAGGGGATCCTTGTCATTTTGTAAAGGATCTGATGCTCAATATTGAATATACAAGAACATTCTCTCTGCTCTCTAACTTAACATACTTTCTTGATCTCACTATTTACATTTATTGCTTATATCCGTTGTGTTCTGTTTATTGTTCTTTGTTTATTGCTCATTATTGGTCATAAAAGGCTTCCATCAAAGCTTCATAACTGTTAATCCTCCATCTACCGCCCCCGACGGGGCGTCCGATTCAACTTCGAGGCCCCGTATACGCAAGCTCGGGGCCCCGATCTCCAGCCATTTGGTTTGATCATTATGCTATCTACAGGCTGTTATTTCTTTTTTTAATCTCTTACATAGCATCTATTACGTAACAACTAGCATAAAAATGGATCACGTATTTTCAGAATCACAAAATCAAATATAATTGTAATTACCATTTTCAAGGTAAACAAAAATATAACAAGGTAGCTCAAAAACTCTAGTTGTGAATCAAAGAAATAAAAAATAAAAAAATAGTTTCATCGATAGGACGCCAGGAGCATTTGCATCACGATCCTGGAGATGTCCAAATTCCCCAAGCAAAGATGAGAGGTAGTAAAGAGATGATATCGCAAGGGAGGTCATGTTAGAAAGTTTAAAAAGGGAAGACGCTACTCGTGATAGGGCTCGACAACACATTTTTCCTAACCGTGAAGCCTTTTAAAAGGCATTTTGGCCCCTCACTTCCTCATTCCAAAAATTGCTCAAGTGTGTAGACCTATGGAGGAGAAAACGACCTAACATTCTCATCTACCAACCTGTTGGAGACGATGAAGTTCTGCCCAGAAATGTCTAGGGCTTTCTGATTATGAACTATAAGTTCTTCATTGTACTTAAATTTGGGATATACATATGAGGTAACCCGGTTTGAAGATTTGGGCCATCTCTGCATTTTGGGCCTGTTTACTACAAGTATTCTTATGGGCTTACTCAGTTGGTATTTGCAATTGGGCTTCAGTCACAAAAACATTGTTCCAGAATATTCCCATAGTACACAACACATTCCACACTGTATTTCAATTAGTTTTTCTTGTATTTATCTTATGTACAATTTTGTACTAGCTAATATGACATTGCCACTTGGTGGAATAGTATGTAGCTGTAGATTCATTTCTTTTTGTATATAAGCCTAGGTATGTACAGTGACTGGATACACATATTTTGAATATACAAAGAAGAAAATCTTTAAATCATTTTTTCAATTTGTCATGGTATAAGAGCAGGCTTGATTTTGCCATTATTCTCTACTTTCTCATAGCCATAAATCAGCTTTCCTTCTTCATTTTTCTTTTCTCTTTAAGCTTGTTTGCTATGGGTTCTTCACCACAGTCAGCTGATACTCTAGCTTCTGCTACAACCACCGCCAATGCTCATGTTGCTTCAGGAGTGATTGACTCTACGCACCCTTACTACCTTCATCCTTCTGACTATCCAGGATTAAACCTTATGTCCTCAGCTTTTGATGGAAAATAATATGGAGGTTGGAGAAGGGCAGTCATTATTACCTTGTATGCAAAGAACAAGTTGGGATTTATCGATGGTACCTTGGTTGTCCCTAAGGCAGAATCTAGACTCCATCAAGCTTGGGCTAGATGCAATGACATGGTACTTTCATGGCTGCTCAACTCCTTGTCCAAAGAGATAGCTGAGAGTGTTCTCTATTCACAAAGTGCAAAGGATTTATGGAGTGACCTGGAAGACAGATTTGGTCAAGCAAATAGAGCAAAGCTCTTCCAACTACAAAATGAGCTAAGTTCAGTGGTGCAAGGAAATTCAAGTGTTTCAACTTACTTCACCCAAAAGAAGAGCCTATGGGACAAATTAGATGCACTCAACACATTTGCTGCCTGTGTTTGTGAGTGTGAGTGTGGAGCAAAGGTCAAGAGTTTGAAAGCACACCAAGAGGAGAGACTGATGCAGTTCCTAATGGGACTTAATGACATATTTATTGGAGTAAGGAGTAACATTTTGTTGGCATCGCCTTTACCTTCCATTCAAGAGGCATACTCCCTTGTGATTCAAGGTGAGAAACAGAGGGGGATACATGCTACCCCTGCATACTCAAGGGAATCTGCCTCATTCATTNCAAGGAAAATGCTGGAATTGTACCATTGCAAGAAGCATGGACATAACATAGATAAGTGCTATAGGATTCATGGGTTTTCAGCAGATTTCAAGTCCACAAGAAAGAAAAGGTTTCATGGAGGTGCCCAGCCAAACAATGCTTTCCTTTCAAACGAGGAATGTGAACAGGGAATAGAAAATGCAACAGGAGGTCAGAATCTTACGAAGGAGAATGTAGCTGAACTGCTGCATCTCCTTCAGTAAGTGAAGATGCGTCTGAATAGTGCAAGTACCTCTGATTTTGCAGCTATGCTGGTATAACCAATTTCTTTGACTCTTTTGCCTGTTTAATTCAAATCGATAATGTTTCTTGGATATTGGATAGTGGAGCAACAGAACCTATGTCTTTTAACAAACATTTTTTCACAGATTTGAAAGTCTTGTCTAAACCTCTCATGGTTAAACTCCCAAACTCTTACAGAGTTAAATTCACTAATTCGTGAACTGTTTCTCTTTTGCCTAATCTGATTCTGCAAAATATTCTTTACATTCTATCCTATGAATATAATTTGTTGTCTGTGCACAAGTTGTGCAGACAACTCAAGCAATATGTTTTATTCACTCCCTCTTCCTGTTTACTTCTAGAGGGCCCTTCACTAAAGAGCCCAATGGAGATTGGTAAAAAGGAAGGAGGCCTTTACATTCTCTTATCCAGTCATACAACAGCAATATCTAAGAGTTCACCTAGGTTTAGGAGAGTTTTCATTCCAACAAGGAATTCTGTTTCCAGTCATGTTTTACATTCTTGTTTTATTTTTTCTGATTCAAATGTAAAGGAAAAGTTGTGGCACTACTGACTACGCCATATGCCCCTTAGCAATATGAAAGATGTTTCATCAGCTTCTATATCTAAGTGTTCTAAATTTTCCACTCCATGTGTTGTTTGTCCTATGGCAAGGCAATCCAAACTTCCATTTCCCTCTAGTTCTTTTTCTACCAAGAAAGTGCTTGAATTAATTCATGTGGATACCTGGGGACCCTACAATAGTGCTACTATGATAGATTTAAGTATTTTCTTGTAATTGTTGATGATTTCAGTTGAGGGACATGGACTTATCCACTAACCAACAAATAAATGCTTTCACTATTCTAAAAGGCTTTCTAGCCATGGTAGAAAGGCATTTTAACAAGAAGGTCAAAATCACAAGGTCAGATAATGCCTTTGAATTGGGAAGTGGGAACACTCAATCAGAACTTATTAGTCACAAGGTATTATTCACCAAACCACTTGTGTGTCCACACCACAACAAAATGGAGTCATGAAGAGAAAGCACAAACATCTAGAGCCTTGTTATACCAATCACACCTACCTATATCATACTGGGGGGACTGTCTTCTTACAGCAACCTAGTTGATCAACATGTTTCTTCAAGTGTCTTAAAGTATAAAACTCCTTATGAAGTTCTCTTTGACAACAAGCCAAATTACTCTAACTTTAGATGCTTTGGGTGTTTATGTTATGCTTCTACTCTTTCAAATCATAGAATTAAGTTTAAACCAAGGGCTACTCCTTCTGTGTTCTTAGGTTATCCACTTAGAAAGAAGGGTTACAAAGTGTTGAACCTCAAGAATTTAAAGCCTTTCATTTCTAGAGATACTGTATTTCATAAAGAGTTTTTTTTTCCATTTGCTTCTATTAAGTCTAAGTCTTCTTCTGATGTTTCTTTACCTACTGCTAAAGTTAATGCAAGTAACCAGACTCCTGAAGTTTTGCCCGTTGACACCAGACTACACACTGAAGTTTCCCAAGAGCCTACTGAATCACCAATCGATTTCGGTTCTTTTCCAATTTCCTCAATTCATCCTAGGACACCTATTCCCTCTTGTTCTTCTTCTAGGTTCTCTATAGATTCTCCAGTATCATCTAGTCAATCACATACATCTGTACCTGTTTTTCCTTCTCCAAATTCTAATCCTATGAAGGATGTTCTTATTAGGAAGTCTACCAGACCACACACAATTCCATCTTACCTCAAGGATTATATCTGTAATGCACTCCAACTCACAGATGTTAGCAACTCTTGCTTTCTCACACCCGTTACACCTACTTGTATATCTTTCAGTGGACTATCTTCTACTAATCAACACATGCTAAACACACTGTCAAATATACAAGAACCTATCAACTATTTACAGGCAGCACATCATCCAAGGTGGCAAGAAGCAATGAACAAAGAGATTGAGGCTCTCGAACTTAATAAGACTTGGGAAGTAGTTGAATTACCACCTGGGAGGAAAGCTTTGCCATGCAAATGGGTTTATAAGGTTAAACAACATTCAGATGGCAGTGTGGAAAGACTAAAGGCAAGATTAGTTATTAGGGGAGACATACAGAAAGAGGGCATAGACTTCAATGAAACTTTTCACCCGTGATAAAGATGACCACAATCAGATGCATATTGGCCACTGCAGTAAAGAAAGGATGGGGTCTATACCAATTGGATTTGAATAATGCTTGCTTACATGGAGACCTAAATGAAGAAGTGTATATGAAATTCCCACCTGGGATAGTACCTGCTTCACCTACTCATGCATGCAAGTTAAAGAAATCGCTTTATGGGCTACGATAAGCATCTCGACAGTGGTATGCTAAACTTACGGCTGCTTTGAACTTTAAGGGATTCACTAACTCATTAAATGACTATTCCTTGTTCTTTAAAAAGTTAGATTCTTCCATTTCTATAGTGGCTATCTATGTGCATGATATACGCTTGACAGGAAATGATAGTGCAGAATTACATGCATTGAAAGAATTTCTCAATAAAGAATTCAAAATTAAAGATCTCGAGGACTTACATTTTTTTCAAGGGATGGAAGTTATCCGAGAAAAGGATGGATCCATCCTTTCTCAGCGCAAATTCACTTTAGACCTTCTCCAAGAATTTGACTCCCTCCATTTATCACCTGTTTCTTCTCCACTTGATCCATCTACTCGTCTGTCTGCTCAAACAGGGAAACTACTGAAGGATCCCACCTTGTATCGTTATCTCCTTAGAAAACTTAACTACCTCACTCACACCCGGCCAGACTTGTCCTTCACAGCCCAACACCTCAGCCAGTACATGCAGGACCCAAGACAACTACACCAAGATGCAGCGTTCTGTGTGCTTCGTTATTTGTTCAAAGATCCTGGGCTTGGGCTCTTTATGTCTTCTACCTCATCCTTCAAGCTACTAGCTTTTTGTGATTCAGATTGGGCAACATGCCCGGACTCGAAGAAGTCAGTGAGTGGTTTTTACATTTCCCTTGGAAATCCAAGAAGCAAACTTCAATCTCGCTCAGTTCGGCTGAGGTAGAATACAGGTCTTTGACGCTAGTGGTCGCAAAGATTACATGGTTGGTTCATCTTTCTGGGGATTTGTCAATTCTTATCTCTCTTCCAGTCACCCTTTACTCCGACAGCCAAGCAGCAATTCACATAGCGAAAAATCTATTTTTCACGAACGGACGAAGCGCGTTGAAATCGATTTCTATTTTGTGCAAGAACAATATCAAGATGAGCTGATTTCATTATATTTTGTTCGATATTCTGACCAATTGGCGGATCTCTTCACGAAATCACTTACAGGACCTCTTCATCATGATTTATTGGGCAAGTTGCGTGCGTTTTCTTCCCCCTCCAACTTAAGGGGGGGTGTTGGAGACGATGACGTTCTGCCCAGAAATGTCTAGGGCTTTCTGATTATGAAGTACAAGTACTTCATTGTACTTAAATTTGGGATATACATATGAGGCCACCCGGTTTGAAGATTTGGGCCATCTCTGCATTTTTGGGCCTGTTTACTACAATTATTCTTATGGGCTTACTCAGTTGGTATTTGGAATTGGGCTTCAGTCACAAAAACATCGTTCCAGATTATTCCCATAGTACACATCACATTACACCCTGTATTTCAATCATTTTTTCTTGTATTTATCTTATATACAGTTTTGTACTAGCTAATAGGACATTGCTACTTGGCGAAATAGTATGTAGCCCTAGGTTCATTTCTTTTTGTATTTAATTCTAGGTATGTACGGTGACGGATACACATATTTTGAGTATACAAAGAAGAAAATCTTCAAATCATTCTTTCAATTTGTCACAACCAAGGTGAGTTTCTATCATTCTTTTGTGTTAATTAAAGTTTATTAGTACCGTTATTAATAATATCAAGGCAATGTTGGATTTGTTAGAATTCTTTAAATCTTTTAAGAACTCAAGAATTACTTGAAATGGAAATTTTCAAAAATTACTTTAAAGAGGTAAGTTCTATTACTTGAGATTCACGTATGTCACGATCCAACTCTTGCATCTAAGTTACGGCGGGGCACCTAATGAGTTACTACCATTCGGCGAACCCTTTATCAAATACATGGCTGAAAGCGTAGAATAAGAGAAGAAGAAACGATACTAAAATGGTCTCATACACATAATAACAGTGTGAAAGCATAAAACAAGTCTCAAAGCATCCCATGGAACTCAAAAGATAGATCTAGTCATGGAGCACTAAAATTAGAATACAATTGAAACGACTCGCAACTCGATTATAAAGTCATAAAAAGAAATAAAAAGATGGAAGCTGAAGCCGCCTCCACGAACTAGTGATGGCTCACCTCAACTGTATAGACATGTCAACTGGCTTGAGTCACTGGTCAACAGATGGATCTCTCTACTGGACCTGTGCAAGGTTATCAACTCGTTCTCCCAGATTATCTCTGGGGTAAGTCTTTAAAACTTGTACTGATGTATACTTATATTATAAGCAAATTAGTATGAGCATAAGAAATATACGAGTAAAGAAACTGAATTGAGATCATGAATACAGGTAAAGAGTGTAAACATGATGTACTACACGTTGGAAGTCTGCTAAAGCTATTATGAAACCATGAATGCCACGACTCATATATTCACCTAGTCGTGATGGCACCTAACCTAGTGCTAGGTAAGCCTAACATAAAATAAGGTAACTCAAGTGAAAGATCAATAATAACAAGAATAAAAAATTTGACTTTTTTATAACTCCCCAAGGACTGATAGTACAAGTCACGAGCGACTACGAATAAAATTACAATTTTAGTTTGAGGAAAGATACATCATCTATTTGAAATCTACATAAACAGAAATATAAATCCTCAATTACCCCGAACAAATGGTAGGTTGTATCTGAAGTGTTGATACGTCTTCAATGCTAGGCCCACGAACTCCGCGGCTGCCCCTCGCCAAATATCTGCATGCAAGGTGCAAAAGTGTAGTATGGGTACATCTGACCCCATATACTTAGTAAGCATTTTGACTAACCTCGGTGAAGCATTAGCGATGTTTTTTTTTAGTCAGAAGAAACTCACTAACATAACATGTTCGATTTGATTTGCAATACAAAAAAATACTATAAATAACAGACGCGTACAAGAACAAATATACGAAGCAGTAAATGATCACTAAAAGAAATCACGGTCAGTTTTCTCAATATCACAACCCATACTTTTCTTTAAGCGATAACCACCAAAAAACATAGTAAATCAACGAATCTTCATAGTATGAGGAATGTGTTCAAGATATCAAGTCAAATGGCGCGGCAACACCATTTCGTGCATTTTTCTCATCATCACCAAATATATGAATGTATCTCAAATCAATTGGCACGGCAACACCCTTCATGTGTTTATCTCATCCTCACCAAGCATATGTATAATAGTACCAACCAGGTAAAAGAAATGCCAATAACAATAACAATAACAATAACAGTAAAATAAAAAATACTTAGGTAGCAATTTCAAGCAAGGTAGAGCATACGGAAAACGGTAACAGATAGGGTGGAAAGCACAGAAGTAATGATAGCAATTAAGGTAGGAGAATAAAATTTAAATATCTAGCAAAGTAAGAAAGTTTAGATGAGATCACAAAAATTGAGGAAAGGCATAGGCGTAAATATAACAAAAAAGATGAAAAGCGTGATTGTGACTAGATAAACAAATATAAAGAGTAGATAAAACAATAACAATTAAGGTAGGAGGCATAGACGTGACAACAACAACAAGTTACATAGAAAGCATAGGTGCAACAATGACAACTTGGAATGAAGACATTAATGTATATGCAATGGCACGGCATCATCCTTCGTGCTTTACTCTCTTCCTCACATGATAATGTATATGCAATGGCACGGCATCACACTTCGTGCTTTACACTCTTCCACACATGATAATGTAAACTACCAACACGGCATTATCCTTCGTGCGTGATAATGTATATAAAATGGCACAGCATCACCCTTCGTGCTTTACACTCTTTCTCACATGATAATGTATATGCAATAGCACGACATCGTCCTTCGTGCTTTACACTCTTTCTCACATGATAATGTATATACAATGGCATGATATCACCCTTTGCGCTTTACACTCTTCCTCACCAAGCACATGTAAATTAATGAAAAGTAGGTTAGGAAACATTGATAGCAACAAGAAGAGTGGTTAAGCAAATACACATCGTGAACATCAATCACAACTCTCGAACCAATAAACAATTCAATAGACCTCAAGAACCGTATTGTTAATGTAGCAACCCCTTTGGGAGGGTGCTACTTACAAAATAAATCTAAGTTACTACTTGAAACATTCGGAAGATATTAATCTAAAAAGACATTCATAATAATTTAGTAGCGGAAATAGGCCCATGCGATAAAGGTTTCAAGGTGCAATATTTTTATTTTTTTAAAATACACTTCGTAAAATTTCTTAAATGAAATACAATGTCAAAATGTTAAGAAAATGTGATAACCCTTCTTAGATAATCAACACGTTAATGTAACTTCCTAACAAAATTATACTTTTAGTTCAACATCACTACAAGTTCATATTGAACATGAATTTTAAATTAGTGAGTAAAAAGGATAACTAGCCTTCTCCTTTGTACATTTTTTACAAGATAAAGTGTAACTTTAGCATATTACAAGACTTGTGTTATTAACACACCCTAATACAGCAAAACAAGTCACCAAATTCAAGTTACAAGATTTTGGTCTTGAGATCCAACAAGCCTCCATGATAACATACATAAGTGTGACATATGGAACATGTACAAACTCCAAAACTATACAAAACCTTGGTGCATATGGAAATGTGATATCCACAAAAGCTTTCGAAAAGTCTACTCCAATAGGGCCTTCTTCCAATCTCATCTCGCACATTACTTACGTTAGAAAATAACTATTGCTAAGCGTAAAGCTTAGTGGTGTATAAACTTTAGGTTCGGAGCCATTACATTCTCCAATTCTACTATTCAGTCATAGGTAGCTTAAATGAAACATAAATGTAAAACAAGTAACCAAATATATCAAAAGTATCGAATATCAAATCTTTGAAGTGTTTCCAAATGTCAATAACAATATTCAAGATTCAAGTGTCAATAAAGTGTATATTGTCTGTCACGCCCCAAAAACTGAGGAGCACGACCGGCGCTCAACCGGGTAAACCCGACTGAGTAAGCCTGTTAGGTTTCATTCTACCCAAACTAATTCACGAATAAATAGGAAATGGACTCCATTAATCATACTTAGTAAGTATTTAATTAACAACTTTCATTTCATTTCTATTAGCAGCTTAAAACATAATTATCAAAATATTACAAGTTTTATAAATCTTTGCCAAACATCAATATTTCTAC